ATTGTTAATATAAATGCACAAACCTCCACCTCTGGTCTTGCCGGAGTCATCTGCTAGCCTGTCGGCTCGGTGTGTGTGGCGTCCTGCTAACTCGATAGCATTGTCCGGGCAGCTGTTGTTCAGCCATGTTTCGGTGAAAAACATGACATTTGAATCCATAATCCGTCTGTTGTTAGTGATGGAGAGCCGTATCTCATCCATTTTGTTTGCCAGAGAACGGACATTGGCGAGAAAAATACTGGGTAAAGGCAGCCGGTGTGGTGTTAGCTTTAGCTTAGCCCGTAGCCCTCCGCGCCTACCTCGCCTTTGTTTACGATCTCGGCGCCGTCTGCGTGCACTTCCGCCCGGCCGGGGAGAGTGGGCAGCCTCCGGTGTTCTGGAGATCTCTGGGATGAGTCGGAGATCGGTGATAAAACTGTTGGAGTTGTGAGTCCAGATGTCCAGAAGCTCTTGTCTGCTGTAGGTCAGCAACGCACAGCAATTCTGGACGAATAATCCGGTTAAAAGTAGATAAAAAACCGCTAAATAGCAGATTCTGGAGAGACACTGAGCCTCGCGTTGTTCACGCGCCGCCAGCTTGGAATCTATTTGGAAGAAACTTCCAAATAGACATTTGGTGGAGTATTATTATAATTAATAATAATAATAATTATTAATTATTAGTATTAAGTATTAATTAGTAAATAATATTTAACAGTGTTCTGGTAGCGATGCCAGCAGTCTTTGAGAATTTGAAATGACACCTGCAGTTTATCCTTTTTCCACCTCTGTTCTGCTCGATGACATTCCCTCTTAACAGCACGAGTGCTCTCATTAAACCAAGGCTCAGGTTTAGCCTTGGGCTGCCTGGTTTTTAAAGGAGCCACAGAGTCCAAGATGGTTTGAGAGCAAGAATAAAACCAGCTTTGACCAAGTTTTGAACATAATCACTGCTGACTTGTCCTGGGGGGGCATGAATGTATGTTTAATTTATTTACTTTAAATAATCTATATAACATTTTATTAATCTATGTACTTGATTTTCTGACTATAAGGTGCATTAAGTGAAACAACAACAGTCAGATAAGCATGGTACATATTACTCCGTAAGACTCCTGACTATGGTAGCCGTAATGCTCCGACAATCCATCAAGTGGTGTGACTTCGTAGCTTACCAAAGTTGTACTAAAACATTTTGACAGATTTTTGAAAACATTAAAGGATTTTACGTGTGACTAATAGTCCGAAAAGTACGGTATGTAGTAATACTTTTGTGTGCTGATATGGAGGAGTGCAGTGGGTGTGTGTGGACTTTAATTTTTTTCAATAGAGCAGACTAAGGAACTTCCTTCTTAGTGGACCAATCAGAGCTCAGACATGAGGTTGAATCATGAACAATCACAGAATCAACCTTTTAGGTTTGGTTAGTAGCAGTAGAGGAATGAACCTGTATCCTGTCCATCTACCTGTCAGTCAAAGAGGCCACACCCCTTAGTTCAGTACTGTAAACATGTTTATTTGGTCTATTAGGACTGACTCACTGCTGGACACCAGAGGAACTGCAGGTTTAGAATGGGTTTATCCGACTCAGATTCAAACACTGCAGAGATCCTCAGTCTAGATCCAACTGTGACTGTCTGTCTTTTGTCTCAACAGCATGTGGAGGCTAAGTGACGCATTAACTAAGATGGTGAAGAACACGTATGGGTGAGTCTGATGTGTATGTTGTTTAAAGCGGAAGATTTTGAGTGAAGAGACAATCTGTTCAGCTTCTTGTGTTTCGTGGTTGTAAAACAGGAAGTTCAGTGTCTCTGATAAACACAGCTGTCCTGTCTTTAAGTCTGACGTCATTAGCCATTTCCGGGCCCTCGGTGTGCCTGCTTTACCAGGTGTAACAATTAAGTTTAACATCCAGGCATCCATAAAAACAAGATTTATTAAATTTAACGATGTTAGTCATTAATATACTGCTGCATTGGCTGGGTTGTAGTTACATCGTAAGGTTTTAAAAACTGAGGTTTAAAATGAACAGTGATGATGAAAACCGAGAACGGCCGACAGTGAACAGTACCATAAAACAAAATACAAAACCTTAAAAAATGTTAAAAACACAACAGCCTTAATAAACGCAGAGTAGTTTGGGCGTGGAAGCATGGTTCATCAGTCATCGCTTAAAGACCGGATATACGACTATGCCAAAGCTGAGACTTCATCCTGACTCACTGATGCCTCTGCTGGATGTCAGGGGAACTGCAGGTTTAAGCTGAGTTTGTCCAGCTCAGGTCCAAACACTGCAGAGATCCTCAGTCTGGATCCACCTGTGACTGTCTGTCTTCTGTCTTCACAGAAATGAGTTAGAAGGTGAAAATGCTCCTGTGATGTTGGAGAACTTAGATGGGTGAGTCTGATGTTTATGTAGTTGAAACTGGAGGAGGAGCTGGAGGATGAAGATGAAACCGTCTGTCAGCTTGTTGTGTTTCATGGATGCAAAACACGAAGTCCAGTGTCTCTGATAAACACTGCTGTAGATATATATACGACTGTGCTAAAGCTGAGACTATCCTGACTCACTGCTGCCTCTTTTGGACACCAGAGGACCTGCAGGTTTAGTTTAGACTCATGGTTAAGCTGTAGAGTCTATAGCTCAGTCTGTGTCTGTCTGTCTACACAGAGAGGAGAATGCTGAAGAAATTCATCTGCTGAATGGTCAGCCATAGTGATGTGTTGAAGGACGATGAAAAATAGAAGAACCAAATGCTCGTCACTTTGCTGAGCTCCAGATTAGAGCACAGAAGAGGCGGGGTCTCTACTGTGACTGCCCCTCCACAACAAGACCTCCCCAACATCAGAGACCTGTTTAAACTACTCCCTGGATTTAAACCACATTAACCTCTGTCGACTTTTATGTGTGTTATTTCTGACTCAGATTCTCTCCTGTTTTTTCCTTTCTTGAAATCTCTCATCTTGTCTCAGGTTTTTAAGGCAGCACTGTGGTTAGGACTGTTGCTTCACAGAAGAAGGTCCTGAGTTCGACTCCACCATCAGGTCTTTCTGTGTGGAGTTTGTATGTTCTACCATGTCTGTGTGGGTTCTCTCTGGTACTTTGGCTTCCTCCCACAGTCCAGAGACATGCACTTAGTGGGGTTAGGTTAACTGGTAACACTAAGGCTACGTCCACACTAATGCGTTTTTATTTTAAAACGCATCGTTTTCTCTCTGTGTTGGCCTCCCGTCCACACTGAGATGGCATTTCCCCCAAAGGAAAACGCAGCATTTTGAAAACGCTCTCGAAAACGAATACATTTGAAGACAGTGCGTTTGCGTCGCAGTGTGGACAGCGAAAACAGAGACTTTTGAAAACAATGACACATTTTACTTTGTACTTTTCTGTTACTCGCAGCAACAACTCCACCTCATTGTTAGTCAATTAAAAAAACTCTGTGCTTTTCCTCGACATTTTGCCGCAACGTTTCAAAAAGCCGGAAAGTAAATAAGCAGCAGACAGAAATGAGGCAGGCCAAATTGTCTTGTGTTTCACGCATGCACAGGACTGGAACGTAAAAGTTTTTGGCTGTTTCAATGTGGATGCACAGCTCTGTGAAAACGACTGAAAACACTAGAGTGGACGCGGAGCGTTTTCAGAAGAAAATGCCATTTTCACATCTCTCCGGGCTAGTGTGGACGTAGCCTAAATTGCCCATAGGTGTGAATGTGAGTGTGAATGGTTGTCTGTGTCTCTGTGTTAGCCCTGCGACAGATTCGTGACCTGTCCAGGTTGTGCACTACCTCTCAACTTAAAACAGCTTTAGGCTCCGGACCCCAGTGATCCAGAAAAGGATAAGTGGAAGAGAATAGATGGATGTTTCATGTTTTTATGTGTCTGATTTTTTTTTACCCATGCAGAACTTTGGTTACGACACACATATGTTGTTGATAACAATAAAGCTGACTTTACAGAGAAAGTTTTCCTTCCTGTGTCTCCTCCAAAATAAAAGTCAGTGTTTTAACATGTTCAGAATCAAACCAACAAAAATAAAGCTGTTAGTCCAGGATGAGGACTGATCAGCTTCTGTATTTGAACACTCAAACATGAGAACAGCTCTGTGCTGCCCCCTGCTGATCACATCAGGACTGGCACATTGAAAACAGACTCAAAGTGGGTCTGGGGTCTGATGGTCTAAAGCCCTTATCACTGGGACACAGTAACCTCTGACCTTCTGAGATCAGTTTGAAAAAGTCAGATGTAGGAAACATCAGAAGATCAAAACTGAATATGTTCATGGACTCAAAATGAAAGCAGCAGAAACCTGCTGAAAAAGTAAAACTGCTGAAGAATCAGCAGCTGTTTTATTGTGAAACATGATTAATGAAGCTAAATATGATCCAAACACATAAACTGAGTGGTGCAGGATAGAGCTCAGTCATATAAAATAAAACGGAGCTCAGCGAGATTGTACTAGACACTAGCAGTGTTGGGCAAGTTACTTTGAAAAAGTAATTAGTTATAGTTACTAGTTACTTCTTCAAAAAAAGTAACTGAGTTAGTAACTGAGCTACAATATTCTAAAAGTAATTAATTACTTGAAAAGTAACTATTGAGTTACTTTAAAAAAAATGTTTAACCCTCTGGGTTCCAGGGTATAATTGGCCATTTTTAACTACTTTTGATTTTCCCTCCACATTTCACCTTTAAAAATAGTTTATTTGCCTTGTTTGGTATCATCCTTTTCAGCCCAACCTCACGTGTCTGAATTTACAGTTATGTTTTTCATTTTGACATACTGTATTAACACAACTGATCTAAAATCAGACAAAAAACATAAAATCAGAGTAGAAAAAGTTATATTTTTTACTGTAACAACCACAAACATGTTTAATGAATCATATTTCATAACTTTAAATGCAAATATAAATTGTCAATTTTAAAATCCTATGCACAAGTTTTGCAAACAACAAAGTTATTTGCATCCATTTACCTTTTACCCCCTTTTTTTTATAACCATTTCAAACTATTTACAGAGCAATCAGCTGTTCTGCATTCAATAAGATGCCACACAAATTATTTGTGCCACTCCAAAAAATAATTTCTGTCCACTATAAAGGAGAACATCACAGCCTGATACCTGCAGGTCTGACAGCAGCAGATGTATCACTCCTGTTTCTACCTGGAGACAGCAGTCGCCTCATTGTTCTGACACACAACACAAAACTATCCACAACACAACACACTAACTACACAAGACAACACATTAGCTACACACTTCAAACACGCTAAACATCTCAAATCTCAAAACTCTCTCTTTTTCTCTCTCTCTCTCCATCACTCCTAAAACGTCCCCTGTTTTTTTTGTTTCTGTTTTCTTTTGCTCATAAGCAGAGAGTGCTTGCTAGCGCTGTCCTTAGACAGTAAACGTGACAAAACTATTGAGAAAAAAAACGCTGCGTATATATTGTTTATCATGACTCTGGTTTTAGGTGGCCTATCAACACAATTTCAAAACTGGTATATATCACCTTGTTGCTCTGTCTTTAAGTGGTCATGTGATTGGCTTACCATGACGATTGCTTTGCCCCCTTAGCTCCAGGTGTTGTGCTAGACAGTGATCGTGATTACTGTCCGCAGGAGCGCGCAGCTGCTTAAAGCTGTAGAGTCCAGATTACTTACGTAGTCAGCTACTTCCATGCAACTAATATAAGATGCGGTAAACTGAACACAGCGTCAACCGTCTGTTTATTGAAAATAGTAACGGACCGCATTTTCTTGTTAGTTACTGTAACGGCGTTGTAACGATAGGAATAGTAACTAGTTAGATTACTCGTTACTGAAAAAAGTAACGCCGTTACTTGTAATGCCGTTATTCCCATCACTGGACACTAGTGATGTGCGAGTCATGAATGAATTGTTCAATACTCGAAAATCACTTTACGGACTTCTGAATCATGATTCACAAGCCCTGCTAACTCATTCACTGACTCATCCCTGTTACTGTTAGCAAACTAATTTCATTAGTAGAAATATATCTAGCTTATAATAAAAATTGTGGAAAAAAACAACAGCTAGTTTCTAAACAAAAACATTTCTGCTCTGGACTGGAAGAAAAAACCCTGAGTAGAAAGCTCACATATAGACAGTAGCTCAACAGTTCACATTAGCATCGCTCTGCTAACTTGCTAACAGCAAATTTGAGTTACTTACCCGTTCAATTCAATTTAATTTAATTCAATTTTATTTATATAGCGCCAAATCACAACAAAAGTCACCTCAAGGCGCTTCATAGGTACAGAGAAAATAACATAATAATACAATAACCTCAGTTTTATCTGAATTAAGAAGCAGAAGGTTAGCAGCCATCCAGGTCTTTATGTCTTTAAGACATTCCTGCAGTTTAACTAATTGGTGTGTGTTATCTGGCTTCATGGACAGATAGAGCTGGGTGTCA